AATATGATTTTATTTAAATTTTAAACATAAAGTGCATCAAAGTGCAACTGTCGAAGTTCCATAATGTAACAGCAGTTTTTTGAATGTTCAGATGGATGAACCTGAAGTTGATGACAGCTATAAATTGCTGAATTTCCGCAGCGTTAGTTTACTAATGCGTACAAAGAAGCAATCTAGTTGCATTGTCCAATTTTTATTTCTTATCTTCTTGTCCTATTAAAAGAAAAGTATTAAAAAGTAGTTGGTATTATTTGAACAAACTTACTAAAACACACAATCTCATACATACAGCATTCATAGTGTCTGTTATTAACTGAAAACTGGAAAAAAAGCGCTAATCATTATTTGTGTTACGAAAGTTTCTGTTTTTAGGATAGAAGCAAAGGTGGAATTGAAAGAACTGAGGGAGGAGGAGAGGTGGTAGGAGGGTGAAGAGAACGAACTGTTGACTGGTAACATTCCTTAGCTTCTTTTGATGCACTCTGTACAGGGTTGTTTTCCAAGTTTTTTTGTCTATTTTTTTATATTTTCGGTTTTTTACTTTTTATTCCTTCTCCTCTTTTAAAAATCAACGGCTACTGAAATTTATAGAATTTGTTCAGGAAATTGCTGTCTATTTTTTTTTGTTACAGGCTTAAATTTTTAGTACTTTTTCTTCTCCTTTTTTAAGTTTACTTCTGTTACAATTTGTAACAGTTTACTACGCTCTAAAAGTATATTTTTAGTTATTTCCCTCATTTCGAATTTTTGTTTTACTAATTTTTCTTTTCTTTCTTACAGGAATTCGATTAAATAGAAGCAGTTACAGTCTAATTGCAGAAGGAAGAAGCAGTCATTGCGACAGCTGCTTAAACTTCTAATTAGCTGTGAAAACCAATAATATGCCATTACCATCATCACCAAAACGATGCTGTCAAACAGCTTTTCAAGCTGTTCGGGCTGATCATTTAGATTGCCTGGCTGAAATGGGTAGAGATTTGTTGGAATCTCGAGATATTTATGGACAGACGCCGTTACATGTTGCTGCAAAACTTGGTCGTTTAGATATTGTTGAGTAAGAATCTCATTAGCAGTTACTGCTGTTATTTTTTTCAGAGGCTTAGGAAACAGCGTTATGCATCAAAGTTGTTAAACTATTGTGAAGCATTTTGCGCAAAAAAAAATTTTTTTCTTGATTTAAACTAAATTATTTGAAAACGTTGAGCTGTATTAGATTCCGAGGTAAATGAGTTTAACCTTTTAGTGTAAATAGTTTGACACTTTCATCTTTTTTATTTTTGATTATATTTTTATTTACCTAATTTTCTATTTTTTGGCGTTTAACTGACATCATTTTGTCGACAGACAAAAATTTGAAATAGCTGTTTTCTATGATTTGGCTCTGAATAGTTTCATGTTACAGATGATGAACCCTGCCAGTGCTGAAAGGGGTAGCCTTTTAAATTTATTTTTCATTGGAAATCTCTGTGCCAAAATTGTATAAATTTTGTCTACAACTAATGAAACAGAATACTGCTGTTTTAGATTTCTCTTGAAATATGCTCCTGAAACACAAGATGTTATAACCCAATGTGGTGAAAACCCAATTTTAATAGCTGCAGCTGAAGGCCATATACGGATCGTCGAACGACTACTCCAAGGGCCATTAAAACTTGCAACGGTTCGAGCATTGCATCGCGACATAAACGGTACGTCGGTACTGATGGCCGCTGTGGTACGTGGCGACAACGATATGGCCTTTTGGCTTCTTCGACGTTTCGGCAAAGCATTGGCAATGCATCCGAATAATTGTCGAATGTTACCCCTTCATGTTGCAGCTGCACAAGGTGACCGTAAAGTAACATTGGCAATCAATGTTGACAATCTATTTTTACATTAATAAACCTTCTCAAGGAAATCACTCTTTACTGCCGAAAAATCTTAGAAAATTTTTCTTTTTTTTTTCCTTGACGTTAGATGAGAATAAAAGAAGAAGAAGAAGCATGCATTCATCATTATCATCATCAGCAGTTTAACAGTTAGTGTGGACAACACCAATCACATTGGTAGTTTTAAAATTTTTACAGTTTCTGGATAAAATTTGTTTATTTGCTAAGAGTTTAGCAAAAAAAAATCTTTTTCTCTTTCCTTTTTTTTTTTGTTGGCTTTTGTTTGTTCACTGTATTATAAGCTGTCATCTTTTGGTTAACTGTTTTTCTAACGCCAAAAAGTTTTAATCTGTTCGACAAAAGCTGTGACAACAGAAAAAATTTTTTTGCTTCTAATATTTGCATAATAATGTTGAACACATCATGATGACAGCTAAAACAGTTCTATGCATTCTACTGTTAAAAAAAAAAAATTTATATCTTTTGTCAAGCGCGTATTTATTGGTTAATTATTAAACTAAGCAGAAGAAAGAAAAAACACAAAAAGATTTCAGATTTTTTTGTTTTTCAATATTTTTACGGAAATTTTGATAGTCATGGTAGCAACAAACAATCAACTGAGAGCAGCACTAAAAACATTTAGTTCTTCTTAATTTCAATTTACCTATCTGCTAAGAAGGATAAAATTTTGGAAAAAGAAGAGAAAAGCGGTTATTTCATTTGACAATCAAAACATTGAGGAAGTATTGTTGCCGCTGTTGTTGTCGTTGGCTGCTGGAAAAGTTTCAGCTATTAGCTGCTTATCGGAAAAAAAATGCTCTTTTTTTCTTCACAGTTTGTTATTCGATTGAAAAGATGAAAACAGAAGGGAAAGTTAACTAATCAACTACCTAACTAGCTAACTGGCTGACTAACTGATTGATTGACTTTCAACCGGTTTTCAGTAGTTTCATTTTTTGTTTTTTTATTTTTATTTTTATTTCACTTTTTTTTTCTCTTATTCTTTTGTTTTTTATTTGATGACTAAAATATCTTTGTTGATTTTGATGATGGCGATCAAACAGGTACCGATAATGTTGTCGATTATATGGTGACAACAACAATGGTGACGATGATGTCGATGACGTTAACAACACTGAAACACTGTTTTCAGTACTGTAGTTGGGTAGATTAAATAAAGAAAAAAAAAGGAAAGCAAGTATAAGCCAAAATTGAAAAATTAATAATACTTAAAAAATGGGAAAACATTTTTTCAGAACTTTATTGCTGCATTAATTTGATTGTATTTATTTCTACCTACTTACGACGGAAGGAGTAGGCAAAAAAAAAGAAACTGGAAGAAATTCATTTTCTTTTTTCCTTTCAATTCTTCTTTCCATTAAGCAATGTATTTGTACATCATCAGAGGAAATTTTCATATCTTTTTTCAAAATAATCTTGGTCAGTCTGGAAAAAAACCTGATAAAACAACTGTAAACATCAAAATCAATAAGAACAGTTGTTGGTTTTATTGGTTACTCCAGACCAGTCATCAAATCACCAGTATTAGAATTAATCATCATCTTTGCTGTTGCTGTCATGGTCAACATAAGATAACTGAGTTTCATTTATTTTTTTGTTTTTTGTGCTGTCTTAATGTTTCATGAAAATTACTGAATAAAAAAGCAGCAACAGCGGCAGTAACTGCAGGAACAATAGGGAAAAAAATTTAACAGTTTCTTTTCGTCAATCAACTTTCCGGTTTCTTTTTCATCAATTTCACTAACAAAAACACTGCAACCAATGTGTTTGTACAGTGTCAGATACAATTTCCCCGAACAACAGTTATCAAGCTTGCAGTTGTATCCTACACAGTCAACAGTGTATAATGGTATATATAAAAAGACAAATAAAATATAAGGCAAAAAATAATTTTGCATAATTTTTTTTTTTCAGGGAACATTGAATATATACGAATTGCCACTAAATATGATAATCATATGGCAAATTTTAGAGATGAATTTGGTAAGCGATGTTTTTTTTTTTTTTTGCATTTATATCTATTCTTTGTCAGACAACCTGCTAAATGGAGTTTTGCAAAAAAAAAAGGAAGAAGTAGTATAAAGTTTAAAATAATAATCTTAGAGAGATTTAATGCCACTTGTTGGTCAATCAACGCTTCTCTAAAAGTTGTATTATCACTTAAGCCTAAGTATAAGATTCAACCGTAAATAAGCTGTTGAGGGCGTTACCTGTTCAACAAACGTTTACAATTGCTGTTATGACTTAATAATCTCCAGTCTTAATTAACTGTTTTTGCAAGAAAATATTTACAAAACTTTGTCAGTTTTGATATATTTGTTCTTTAGGCTATTGAACGTTTTGCTGATTTAGTGTACCGCTCATATAAACAAAAAAAAAAAAAACTAAAACCGAGTAAAAAAAGAGAGCAACTGTTTCTGTTTAGCGGATTAACAGTTATATTGACCAACACGCAACAGTATTTGAGCCGTTCTAATAGCTGAACAAATATATAGGGTATAGGATACACTGGGGGGGGGGGGGGGGGGGGGGGGGGGGGAAAAAAAA